AAGGACTATCGCTGACGGGATGCCGTCAGCGATACTTATCGCTGACGGCGGTATCGGTGACGGCAAAGCCCGTCAGCGATAGAGAAACATCGCTGACGGGATTACCGTCAGCGATGTTTCTCCATCGCTGACGGGGATTCCCGTCAGCGATACTTATCACTGACGGGGACCCGTCAGCGATGTTTGTAATATCGCTGACGGGCTTCCCGTCAGCGATAAGTATCGCTGACGGGGAACTCGTCAGACGGGAAGCCCGTCAGCGATAAGTATCAGCAGCTAAAAAAAATCTGGTGATATATACTCAGTTCCCTGTACATATATATATTCCCTGTACATACAAATCTCCAAACGACATTTCACACGCATTCCAAAACATCTCGCAATGATACAATCCAAATTTTCCCAATTAAACCTCTCATCCAATCAATTTTTACAAACAATCGAAATATATACATTCACTTATCACGATAAGTTCCAAATCCACAATAATAATTTTCACAACAAACAATACACACATATCATAAGTTCTAAATCCACAATATACAAACTCGAGTATCATAATCTCAACTATAAAGATGTTCACAATATACAAACACGAGTATCATAATCTCAACTATAAAGATGTCCACAATATACAAACACGAGTTTAGGATATAACTCACTAAGATAGGTCATCCGCCCTATCCATGTCATCGTCCGCGTTGCCACTGGCGGATCCATCCCTACGACTCGTGCTCCCAATAGTATCATCTCCAATCTAACAACAAAATAATTTAAATTTAGAATCACATAATATTGTGTGTAATCATGTTTTACATATATAATAAGTATACCTGTCTGCTACTCTCTCCACTACCAGTAAATGCCTTTTGAGTGGCCAAGAAGTTCATAATCTGGCTTTGCACCCGAGTAGGAACCCGCCTTCTACAAGATTTCATTATTTGCCTAGAAACCATCGCAAAAGTAGCAGTAGGCTGGATCACTCGCATAAGCTCCTCTTGAATATCCTCCCACATCTCCTCGGAAATCTGACCATCTAACATATTCATCACAGAGGAAACAAGCTGCATCGCCTGCTGAGTGCAATCCTCCTGCGGCATGTAAGAGGGCCCCGAGGGCATAGTCGATGGCATTGAAATCGGCGGAGGTTGGAATGGTGTAGAGACCCTCTGAGCTCCAACTCTCATCCACCTGGTCCTCCCTTTTTTAGGAAGTCCACAAACTAGATGGCTCACATTTATCGCTGACGGGAAGCCCGTCAGCGATAAGTATCAGCAGCTAAAAAAAATCTGGTGATATATACTCAGTTCCCTGTACATATATATATTCCCTGTACATACAAATCTCCAAACGACATTTCACACGCATTCCAAAACATCTCGCAATGAATACAATCCAAAATTTCCCAATTAAACCTCTCATCCAATCAATTTTTACAAACAATCGAAATATATACATTCACTTATCACGATAAGTTCCAAATCCACAATAATAATTTTCACAACAAACAATACACACATATCATAAGTTCTAAATCCACAATATACAAACTCGAGTATCATAATCTACAAACCGTACACACATATCATAAGTTCTAAATCCACAATATACAAACACGAGTATCATAATCTCAACTATAAAGATGTCCACAATATACAAACACGAGTTTAGGATATAACTCACTATGATAGGTCATCCGCTCTATCCATGTCATCGTCCGCGTTTCCACTGGCGGATCCATCCCTACGACTCGTGCTCCCAATAGTATCATCTCCAATCTAACAACAAAATAATTTAAATTTAGAATCACATAATATTGTGTGTAATCATGTTTTACATATATAATAAGTATACATGTCTGCTACTCTCTCCACTACCAGTAAATGCCTTTTGAGTGGCCAAGAAGTTCATAATCTGGCTTTGCACCCGAGTAGGAACCCGCCTTCTACAAGATTTCATTATTTGCCTAGAAACCATCGCAAAAGTAGCAGTAGGCTGGATCACTCGCATAAGCTCCTCTTGAATATCCTCCCACATCTCCTCGGGAATCTGACCATCTAACATACTCATCACAGAGGAAACAAGCTGCATCGCCTGCTGAGTGCAATCCTCCTGCGGCATGTAAGAGGGCCCCGATGGCATAGTCGAGGGTGTGGAAATCGGCGGAGGCTGGAACTGTGTAAACACCCTCTGAGCTCCAACTCCCATCCACCTGGTCCTCCCTTTTTTAGGAAGTCTACAAACTAGATGGCTCACATTATAATTCTGCTCTCTAGTCAGGGGCTCTTGGCTCTGTGCAACAACCTCAGAATACGTGTTTTCCAGAGCTTCCTAGAAGTCCAAAAAATAAATTTAAGAATTAGCCTTTCAAAAATAAAAGATATTTACCTGAACAAGTAAAATAAAAGTACATGTGAAGGGTGTTTTGTGCAACATAAAAGTACATGTGAAGAAGGGTGTTAAGTGCTAATAAATAGTTGAAGGGTGCTTTGGCTTGTAAGGTGATAGGAAAAGTTTTGTCATTAGCAATTCAAAGGTTTTCGAGAATAAAACCAAGTAGATCAATCATGTTACAGTATGTTATTTCTTATGCATTGTAAAAGAAGAGTGCAAACAATAAATTCCCAACATGATAACAGGCTAATAAGAGCTAAGATAATTAGTTAACCTGCATTTTCTTGGCCAATTCTAGCTTTTGTTTCCTATTCTCATCGTCATCGTACCCCTTCTTAAATTGAACCATCGTTCTCCTGTGCAGTTCTGGTAGCGGGATAAAGGGAGCGTTCTGAGATTTAACAATATATTTATTAGTTTTATTTATCAAATATTCTAAGAAGCGGAGAGAATATACATAGAAGATTAAAAGACTTTATACCGTTATCCTACAAAATTGATCCTCAATCTGGGCAAATGAAGTAGTCCCCGTATGATGATCATAATCTTTTTTCCATCGATTAAGTTTATTTCTCCTACATTTTTCCTTCAACATGAACAAAGAGAATTTTAGTGCATGGTATAATATACAATGAAATATATCACTAGTTTCAGATAAATAACTTGATGATAATTAACTACTATACATATTTACCTGGTGCTCCTCTTGGCCCCACAATATTATAAGTGCAGCTAAGTGCTCAGGCTCAACCCTCTTATCTCGCTTGTATATCCTCTCCCAGTTGTGAGTGAAACAATCAAAGCATTTCTTCTTTATCTCATGTCTCCACTCCCGAAGAGAATGCTTGAACTTTCCCTGGTATCCAAATAAAAATTCCCACCCTACGGGATTGTCTTCGATGTTGAAATATCTCTAAAAATAAAATATAGTTAAGCATGGACAATTGACAGAATTGAAAAATAATTATGCTAAATATAAGAATTTACCCAACAATCTCGATATATACTCTCCAGGACATGAAATGGCTGCTCCCAAGCCTCGTAATAGGGATTCACATTATCACTCCTCCGTATCAAACATCCAAGGTATGAGCTGAAGTTATTAGCCCATTGTCCGGTTGGAATCCCATTATGTCCCCATCTCACAATTGCTCGAAAACCATCCGGTGGTAACTTTTTTTTAAAGTCACTTCCTTGGCGTCCTTTCTTCTGGTAAAGTTTTTCTCCTACAAAAAAGAAATAATAGATATATCAACACTTTTATTTAATCAACACTTTTATTTAAGCTCTTAGAATTTACTAAAAAAGGAAGAAGAAAAATTCTGGAATTGATTAAGTTTTTGATCAAACTCACCAAATCTTTGTCTGATTTCATTTTTTGCATCAGACAAAATCTCATCAATCTGTGGGGCCCATTCATCTAATCTTTTTTTCGCAAGCATGTATTTTTCGTTCTGCTTGAGTCTGTACCCCTCTGCACATGCTGGTAAGGGCCCGCGCTCAATCCCAGGAATGTATGCTCGAAGTATAACTGGAGGATCTGCATGTAATGGTATGTGAGTCGGCTCTTCCTCACCCTCACCTATAAAAATAAAAGAAATAAATTATCATTGTGCATATATCATGAATAAAAATACGTAAGTTAAACTAAGTTATACCTGACATCTCTCCTGAACTCGGAGGCTCTTCATCAGTGGATTGGTATTGACTGGGGTTAGCTTCGAATAACCTCCTGTTAATATTTTTAGACATCTGCAAGTTGAATAAACATACAAATTAATATAACATAGATGCAAATTGGCTTGGCGAAAATAAAAACAATATGTATTGTTGCGTTACTAAATTTTTCATTTCACATCAAGTTTGTAGGCATTTGCAAGCTGAATATACAAAATAAGATATTACATATTTATATCGTCCAAAAGGTAATTGAGATACATTGTAGTGATATTAAAGTTTTTATTATACAATTTGCAAACTAAAAAAAGTTACATGAAGACCCGATTACAAATAATTGCTGTTTAGCTCCTATTAATGTCTGTGATAATATTTGGAATGTCTGTCCGAGTTGTTGGAGCATCCGTTTCAAACACTACGTTTTGAGGGTACGAGAATTCATCGATCGCTGTATTTGGCTCATTGAAGTTGTTTATATAGCTCTCGTCATCATCTTCATTCGTGGAAGGTTGAATATAAGCCCTAGAATCCTTGTACAAGACAACCCACTCGTCTTTAACTGTAGGATCTTTCACATAGAAACATTGTCCCACCTGAGATGCAAACATGAATTTTTCATCACTATCAATTTCTTTATCGAGATTGACAATTGTAAATCCAAAGGGATCCTTTTGAGTCTTTGTAAAACACCAACGAATCATGAACATCATGTATTTATGTTCATTTGGACCACCATAGCCGTAGAATATCTCCACCACATCTTCCAACCTTCCATAATATGTTATATTATTTTCAACTGGATTCTGATATCTTCTGTTTGAGAAACATTCCCGTGAAGAGGTAGCCATGACATCACTATTCTGGGTGACCTTCGTATCATCAACCTCCATTGTGTGAAATTTATAACCGTTAACACGATACCCACCATAGTGAATTATAGCATAGTAAGGCCGCTTTGCGTGAACCTTCACTTCTTCTGATATTTGATTATTAAGGACAAGTTGTTCCTGGATCTAAATATATACAAAAATAAGCAAACTATTAAATCAATAATTTCTAAGTTTTTATCAATGAAATACAAATATCGCTAAATTTAACAATACTTACTTCACTATTCAACCAAGCAGGGAATTCCTTCATATGCCTTTCTTTAATGTCATGTACAGCTGTACTACCGGTAACTTCATTCTTAAGTTTTTCCTGATGTTGCCTATTAATGTGCATAAATTTAATTATTATTGTCAAAATAAAAATTTTGTCAAAATAGAAATTAAAGAGTAAATGGTATTAAAAATTATTTTTAGATATTTTACCTCCGATACTCCGAGAAGATTTCAAGATTATTTATAACATATGCATGCGCTTGATCTAACAATATGTTAGAATAATTTTTGTTCAGCCCGCGAGGATAGAGAACTGTGTACTCCTTATTATCAACGGGTGCTTGAAGTTCAGTTTGTTCCCCTCTCATATAACGAGAGGCAAATAAGAGACACTCGCTTCTCACGTAACTTTCAGCTATTGAACCTTCTGGGCGAGCTCTGTTACGCAATTGACGCTTCATTGAACCCAAATATCTAAAAAAGGAATATTAATCAAATATAGATGTAAAGAAATTTACATTTAATAGATATAAATATTGATGTGGATCGATTAAATTTTTCTAAATACTAACCTCTCTATTGGATACATCCAACGATAATGGACTGGTCCTGCTATTGCAGCCTCCTCTGCGAGATGATGTGTAAGATGAACCATTATTGTGAAAAAATATGGAGAAAAGAGCATCTCCATTTCACACATTGTTTCAGAAATATTTTCACCAAGTTTCTCAAAGTCACGAGCGTCTATAACTTTAGAACAAAGCTTTCTGAAAAATCCACAAAAATCAATAATAACCTTCACTGTTTTTTTATTCTGCATAGTACTGCGTAGTGCCACAGGTAGCAATTGATGAAGAAGCACGTGATAATCATGAGTTTTAAGCCCTAATATTTTCCTTTCTTGCACCTGGACATAGTTCGATATGTTTGCGGAGTAACCCTCTGGTAACTTTATTGATTTGAGGACTTGACAAAATGTTTGCATCTCAACTTTCGACATTGTAATACGAGACGCAGGCAACTCTAATCGGTCATTTCCGATAATTTTTGGCTGCAGTTCCTCTCTAATGTTCAATGCAGTTAGATCTCGACGAGCTCGTAGATCATCCTTTGATTTATTAGCATCTTGCAACAGTGTGGACAAAAGATTATCACAAATATTTTTTTCAATGTGCATAACGTCCAAGTTGTGACGTATTTTTAGCTCTTTCCAATAGGGGAGTTGAAAAAAAATGCTGAATTTTGTCCATCCTGAAGGTAATTTTACGACTTCAGCCCCATCACTCACCACTTGTGCTTGTCTCTTTCGTTTTGGTATCCTTTTGTTAATACGCAAGTTCCTTACTCCAAGTAAATCTTCTTTCGAATAGCGCTTCTTTCCAAACCTGACGGCAAGGAACATCTCAAGCAAATGTACAATCTGATCCCCACGTAATGGACGCGGAGCATCTCTCTTCTCAACAGTATCATCAAAAAACTTGCTCCATTTTTTGGTTCTGTACCTGTGTTTTATGTTCAACCACCTTCTATTAAACCAATAACAAAACTTTCGACTGTGCTGCAGATAAAGACCTTTGAATTCTGGACCACACACTGGACATGCATATGTTCCCTTTGTAGACCAACCTGAAAGATTCGCATAGGCTGGAAAATCATTAATTGTCCATAGTAAAATAGCACGTAGTCTGAAAGACTGCTTTGCATGAGTATCATAAGTCATAACCCCTTCAGTCCAGAGTTGTTTTAACTCATCAATTAGCGGTTCTAAAAACACATCTATGTCATTGCCTGGTGCATGCTTGCCTGGTATCAATAATGAAAGTATCATATACGGTTGTTTCATGCAAAGCCAAGGTGGTAAGTTGTAAGGCGTTAATACCACAGGCCATGTAGACCAACCAGAACTCATTATCCCAAATGGATTGAATCCGTCGCTAGACAAACCTAGTCTAACATTCCTACACTCATTCGCAAACCAAGGAAAAGTTCTATCCATATGCTTCCACGCCTCTGCATCAGCCGGATGTCTGATTTTACCATCATCAGTACGTTCTTCCATGTGCCACCTCATTTGCTTAGCAGTGTCTTTATTCATATACAACCGTTTTAGCCTTGGTATTAAGGGAAAATGACGCAGGACCTTTGCTGGAATCTTCTTTTGCTTAAGCATAGACCTTGTTGTCCCATGTGTTGAATAATTTTTGCGTTGTACCCACCGTGATACTCCACAAATTGGACACTCCTGAAGATCTTTGTTATCCTTATAGTAGAGGATACAATCATTAGGGCATGCGTCAATTTTATTGTAATCAAGTCCTATAACGGAAACAATCTTCTTTGCGTTATCATAATTTTCTGGTATGCTATCTTTTCCATTTGGAATGACTTTTCTCAGCAACACAAGCAACATATTAAAATATTTATCCGCCATTCCGCTAAGAGACTTTATACGCAAAAGACGCAGCATAAATGATAACCTGGTGAACTCGGTACAACCCTCATACAGATCATTTTCATTGTCGTTAATTAATTTCATTATCTGCGCTAGCTCCTCATGATCAGTCACGCCTCCAGCATTTCCCGACTCGTCAGCATCCTCGGCATCTTCAGATTGATCTATATTAGGAACTGTTAACATATCCGCGAGCATCGTATGTGTATCATCTATTCTCGTATCATCTATTCTCCCACCGGACGTACCGGTATCCGCCATCAGTTCCATTTCTTCAAGGCATCCTTCCCCATGAAACGTCCAATATTTGTACTCCTCATGAAATCCGGATATTAAGTGTTTCTGTAAATCACTTTTATCCACCAACGCTCTATTTTTACACCAACAGCAGGGACAATACACGACATCACTATTTAACTTCCGTGGGTCTGCCAACGCGTATTGTATGAATTGATTTATTCCATCTTTATATCGACTATCCCTCCATCTATCAATACGAGGAATATCGATCCATGATTTGTCTGGAACTATACTCATAGATCTGTATGATATTAAGCATAATTAGATAATGTGAATTTTTATTATTAACGCATCAAATTAAAGGTTGCGTGATATTAACTTTCTTCACGACATCAAGGAAATTTTAATTATAATAATCTAGGAGGGAAAATTACCAGAACATAAATTATGTGGGAGTAAAATCTAACGCTCATATTTTCAATAAGAGACTTTAACGGCTGTCATAGGAAATGGACCTATCCCATTAGGAATATAGTAGTGTTTACAACTACCTTTATATACTTTAAGCGTTTTTATTTCTTAAAAATTTCGGCAGCACCTACCCGCAGTTCTCCGAGTACACTGTGCGGATGTTATAATGCGTATCAATCATCAATAATAAATCGATTATAAATCAATACGCAAAACAACATACGCTTATTGTACACGGAGAACAATGCGGGACGTGTTATCAAAATTTTATGGGAATAAAAATGCGTAAAGTTTACAAAGATAGACGATACACTACTGTATTCCTAACCTGTACGAGAAGGGGAATCCTCCCCGGACAGATCTAATAATTATTGCATGTATATCATGCTCCTAACATAAATCACGTTATTCTCTTTAGATGTAAAAAGTATTTTCACATCCAACTAGAATTGCGTGAGTTTATATAAGAAGAGATTCACATCCAACATTATTAGACGGGAAACTAAGGGTAACGACTTTCGATTCATAAATCATGATATATAACACAATAAAACTTGTAATTACCACAAGAGAA